TTTCTTCAGACATCCTTGCAGATCAAGTATGTTCAACATTGTTTACCTAAATGAAAATACTAGGGCTGCAACAACTAATCGATTAAACTGATTAAAATCGAGTATTAAAATAGTTGGCAACTAGGCTGAGCCCTACTCACGGGTCGTGTGCAATCAAAGCATGATTGCCGATAACATCACTCTAACTAGACCCGTAACATATTCCTTTTTCAAGTAATCATTACCTAACCAAACATAACTTAAGAAATGCCAAAATGTGACAAAATTCAGTTTTTTTTTTTTTCTCAAGCAACAACCATACGTTCTAGCTATACTAGTTTACACCAATTACTAACAGCACTAAATTATATTATCACAAATTAAGCCTCACAGGTGGCTTGGATAGCCATCCAGCCCTGGTGTAAGTGTGTCCATCTGAGGTTTCGGCACCACCTGGGCCCGGGGCCCTTGGTGCAAGTCCTAGGGAGCTTGGCTCAGTGGCTCAGTCACAGTCATGGGAGCCTCTTCTGCAGAGCTCACTGGTGCGTGCGCCGCCTCAGGCTCAAACACATCATGGGCGGCCCTTGCCAACAGCTCAGCCACCCTGAGGTCGACCCTGTTGCGCCTATACAGGCTGCCGTTGATATCCACCAGGTAAGATCCCGGTGCGACTTTGCGGAGACAGGTGCCAAACTTCCATAGACCTGAATTTGCACCAGGCAGGGGCCTCATTCGGATAGTTTCCCCAACCTGCAGCTCTGGCAAGTCCCGGGCAGACAAGTCATAGAAGCACTTGGCCCGTTGTTTCCTGTGGCATAGCTTTTCAGTGACTCCTACTACCACAGCTGGTTCAAGGAGTTTAACCATCACTGGAATAGAAGTCTTCAGTCGACAGGACATGACGCGTTGTGCCGGGCTGCTATCCATGTTTTCCATTGGAGTGTTCCTCCAGTGCAGTATGGCTTTCCAGGGGTCACTACCATCACGTGCAGCTTTGCACAGCAAAGCCTTTGCAATCTTGACGGCCGACTCTGCCTTGCTGTTTGCCTTAGGGTGTCGAAGTGAGGAGGTTACATGTTCAAACTCCCAAGCAGAGGACGAAACGTGTGAACTGAGCGGTGAACTGTGGACCGTTGTCTGTGATGACCCTTTCTGACTGGCCGTGTCGCGCAAACTGTGCTTTACAACGCCTGATGACCGACTCTGAGCTCAATTTCCCAGAAGTCTGAGTAATGGTCTACTAAAAGGATATAGTCCTTTTGCCTATGGCTGAACAGGTCCATGCTCAGAATTTGCCATGGCCTGGTGGGCAGGTCATGTGAGAGCATGGTCTCCTTTTGCTGCTTGTGAGCAAATTCATTGCAGGTTGAGCAGGTACTCACAAAGTCTTTTATCTCTGCCTGCATGCCGGGCCAGTAAAGTGTCTCCCGGGCATGCCTGTAGCATGCATCCCCTCCTATGTGACTCGAATGTATGCGTGTGAACATCTCAGTGACTCGCCAGTGACTTCAGCTCGTGAACAGCCGCCTCATGTTTGGGTAGCCAGTGCCAGGGGGTGTCCTTGTCCAGCAGACGTCGCAACGGCTCACAGACACTTGACAGATGCGGCATGAACTTAGCTAAGTAGTTGGCAAAGCTGATGAGACGCTGTACGCCTTTAGTATCTGTCGGATTGGGCATGTCAGTGATGGCCCTCACCTTCTCTGGATCAGGCTTCAGGCCTGTAGCAGAGAGGATGTGACCATGAAACTGGACTTCACTGACCTTAAACTGCAGCTTCTTTAGGCCCAGCCGCAGCTTGACCTCACGGCAGCGCTCCATCAGGGCCAAGAGCTTGACGTCATGGTCACTCTCAGCCGCCTTGTCTGTATCTCCACAGCCCACGACTAGGATGTCATCTGCAATGGGTTCGACGCCGTTCAGTCCCGTGAGGAGCTCATGCTGCTTCCGCTGATACAGTATACCTCAGGTGCCACAGACACACCAAATGGTAGCTTGAGCCACCGTTTCCTCCCCCAGGGTGTCCAAAATGTAGTCATAAGGCTGCTCTCATAGTCCAATTTGCACTGTAGAAACGCATCACGGGCATCCACTATGGTGAAGACCCTAGCATTCGGCAGTTTGTACAGGATGTACTCCATAGTGAGCATAATGTAGTGAGAGCGTCTCAGGGCCTTGTTTAAAAATTTAGGATCGATGCATATCCTCAGTTTCCCCGGCTTTTTTACTATCATCATGTTGCTGATCCAATCTGTGGGGTCTGTGACCGAGGCTATGTGACCGTCAGCCTCATACTTATCCAACTGAGCCTTGACTGCTGCCTTCATGGCAATGGGAACATTGCGCGGAGCACACTGAACCAGAGGAATGGTGGGGTCCAGGTCAAAATGGACTTCTCCAGGGACGCATTCCACCAGCGAGGTGAACACATCGCTGTATTTACTGAGCAGCCTGTTCTTGGATAGGGGCCCAGGCTGCATATGTGCCACAATGTGAACATCCTCAGGAATCATGAACTGTATAAGGCCAAGGCGTTCACAGGTGGAGCCGGACAGAAGAGGATGCTGGCTAGTATCTTTTGCCTCTTACAGTGCATTTGGTTTCAAAAGTGCCCATGGAGCTCAGCATTTCCCCTCAGTACAGCTTCAGTCTTATATCACTAGGGGCGAGCTGTGCATTGGGATCCAACCTGTCCTTGTCTTGAAGGCCCATTACATTGCATGTGGCTCCGGAATCCAATTGACATTTCTGTGGCTTGTTGTGAAATTGCAGTGTTACAAACAATTTTTTTCCTTTTGTTTGTACTGCACCGATTGATTCGTGCATGTAAATGTCCTCATCACTGTTCTGCTCTGAGTGTTCTGTGGAATTGTCCAGACAGTTTACTTTCCCCTCGATTGGTCTTGCGCAATCAAAGCAAAACTAACTGATTGCCAATAACATCAATCTAACTAGACCCGTAACAGTGACGAGAACCAATGCCGTGCCTTAAGTGGCTTATGTGATGAAATCTGGAAGAATTGGAAAAAACGTTTGAAAAATGGCGGAGGCGGACACGGCAGAGGAGGCTAATGTTAGCCGAGAGAAAAATGCACGACCCAAGTCGTCAAAAGTATGGGAGCACTTTATATATGAATAGTTACCCACCGTTTTTACTGCTGTGCATTTAGTTTACCCACCTTAAATTCATTGATACCACTACACCAATGCTTCATTTCTTCATGATAGAAATTTACAGTAATATCAAGTGTTGTAGTACTCAAGACCAGTTTTTGAAGGTCTCGATCTTGCCTTTGAATCAGCCGTATTTGTACTCGTTCTTGTCATGGGCTCGGGATTTTATTTCTCAAAAGGTGAGTCTGGTGGGGACCACTGTCGCATTAGAACCCGATCACAGAAGAAGTACGCTGTGGGATGCTCCTTCATGTCATGTAATGGATTTTCTTCTTTGGCAAGGGGCTTTTCTCTAAAGTATGCGAGAACTTCGTTCCTAACTTAGCTCTTGAGATCCTCGGCATCCCCCTCTCTCTGCTCTTCCTCACTGCTGGTTCCAGAATCGAACAGTGAATCAAGAGTTGTAGGCTTGTCCATAGCAGAGGCATGACAGGTTTCCAAGGAAGGGTCCGCTTTCTGAGCCGAGTGCATCCCTAGTGGAGGGAACTTCAGGGGAGGTAACAGAGTTATCGGGATCCGGGGTCACAGACTTAACTACCAAAGGTTTTTCTATCACTGGCCCGGACATGAGCGCGTCCGCGAGGTCGATATCTGCGAGCTGGCGCCACTGTGCCTGCGTAAGCACACAAGCAGGGAACACTTGGGGCAAATCCACTGCTACGTCGTCATCAACGATCACAGGGTGTCTCTCTATCCACCATGGAGTCCCTGCTCTGTCTCTCTATCCACCGTGGAGTCCCTGCTATGTCTCTCTATCCACCGTGGGGTCCCTGCTCTGTCTCTCTATCCATCGTGGAGTCCCTGTACGGAACTACCTCGGGTAAGGGAACAATTCTCTTACCCGCTATATCATTTCCAAGGATAAACGTAATACCTGGGACTGGACAGCAACACGCACATATCTCAAGAAATTTGGAGTACACAAATAAACGGTGTGCAGGGGAACTCCAGCCACACACAAATCAATACCCTGTACCAACACATCCATACCACAGTACGTCTCATTACACAGGGGAATAATCCCTTCCACCAAGAACGACTGAGCAGCTCCCGTATCCCGCAGGATAGTCACAGGGTGCTGGGTGACAGTCTCACTAAGCGAAACAGAACCAGCGAATACAAAAGGTTCGAAAGCAGCATCAATAGCAGAGGATGAGGGTGAAGAGCTGTCGGGGCAGGCAGCAACATTCACCTTTCTGGTTGTTGCACGAGCTTCCTTGCGCTTTAACACAGGACAAACAGATATAATATGACCCACTTCATGACAATAGAAACACTCACATTTCTCCACGGGCGGTGGAGACGGTGCTGACGAGGGAGAAGCCACAACCGAACGAGGGTGAGTTTTACGGGGTAACGGAATTGGAGTAAACACAGTTTTATGAGTCAATATAAACTCATCAGCGAGGGTGGCAGCTTCGGTTAAAGAAGCGACCTTCTGTTCATTTAAATAAACTACCACCCGATCAGGAACACAGTTTTTAAATTCCTCCAGCAATACCAATTCTTTAAGATGGTCGAAATTAAACACCCTGCTTGTGCTGCACCACATATCAAATAGAACTGCTTTCTTGCATGCAAACTCCACATGTGTTTGGCTGGCGGATTTCTGAAACCTCCTAAAATTTTGCTCAACCGCCGTAACTGCAGCTCTTTGTCAGCCTCAACTTCCACAGCCTGGAGACGGAGTAGCTGAGCCTGGTACTGTACTCCTGTCTCTTAATCTCGAGTTTGAGCTCCCTTAGCTTAATCGTAAGCAACAGGTCCTCTCTGGTTGAGTATGGATCTCCAAGATCCATGCAGCGTCCAAC